ATTAGTAAAACTCTATGATTTAATTTTAGTCTGGCTGACTCTCTTGATGCCTGTTTATATTTTTTTATTTTAATGCAATAGATAAGAATTACAAAATTATGTCATTACAATCAAATATTTTCCTGTCAATGGTACATTGCTGATTAAAACACTGTTTATGTCTCAAATATTTTTTTTCTTAGCTAGCTGAATTCTAAATTATCTATATTTATTAAACTTATGTGCACAAATGTTAAATGATGAATTGCTCCTCATATAATTGTGAACGGGTGGAATTTGCCGTTGTATCCGTCCATGGGAAACGGTATGCAAGATGGGGTTGAAATTAATATGCAAGAGATGGCTCGAGGGCAGACCGAGGTGTTTTTAGCCGTCCCTCCGCATGGTCATACGTGTGCAACTATGGTACGTGAAACGGATTTACTGAATTAAACAATTGTTTAACAAGAACAATTCCAATTTCACCGCCTCGGAAAGCAATGGCCGAAGTCCGGTTCTCAACCCCAATTAAAAACGGTTTTAATAGCTTTATTAATACTCTTCCGTTCTAAAATGTTAAACATATATGTTTACTTGAAAGAAAAATTTTAAATTTCGTTAAAAAAAATATTTTACACGAAGATATACATAAAAACTTTATACATTTTATGAATAAATTTGTGTGTGTGTCTCTCTCTCTCTCTCTCTCTCTCTCTCTTTCTCCCTCCCTCCCTACCTCCTAAAATAGTATTTTTAACAATGAAATTTTTGTTTTGCCACAACTCTATTTCCAGATCGTCAAGTTCATTCAATGAAAAATGGCAAAGAATTGGTTTAGCAAAATGTCGGAAAATTCAAAAGGACTATCTTTATATATTTATCTCTTTTTCCTTTCCTCTCACTCTTTCTATCTCTCACTCTCCCTCTTTTTCTCTCCCTTTCTCCCTCCCTCTTTCTAGCTAGAACATAGCAATAGTATTTTAAAAAAATGAAATTTTTGTTTTCCCAATGATTACCTACACTTTTATTTCCAGATCGTCAAGTTCATTCAATGAAAAACGGCAAAAATTTTGTTGAGCTGAATGTCGGAAAATTCAAAAGGACTATCTTTATACATTTTTCTCTTTTTCCTTTCCTCTCCCCCCCCCTCTCTCTCTCTCTCTCTCTCTCTCTCTCTCTCGCTCCCTATCCCCCCTCAAAAGTTAATAGTTTCAACCCAAAAAATAGTTTTTTTCAATTAATTTATCTTCATGTAAGTTATTGGTTGAAATGAAAGAGTCAGCGTCACGAGCGGGATTCGAACCCATGACCTTCGATTAAAAACGCCGCTGCTCTACCACTTGAGCTAACGCGACTTCAATCCACTCGGACACCAACTTCCCATCTCAATCTTCAACATTTCGAATTTTTCCTCTTTTTGCCATTTTTCAAATTTCTTCTAATCAGGATTCGATTCTCGGCGACAAATGAAATGGCCAGGGTGAGCTTTACTGAAGATACACTCCGTTTTACTTTTTAAATCCATTATATTTCGTGGTCTGATTGACCAAATAATATCTTTCAATTAATTATTCTTTATGTAAAGTATTTGTTGAAACTCGGACACCAACTTCCCATCTCAACCTTCTTTTCGAGTGGATCGAAGACACGCTCAAGTGGTAGAGCAGCGGCGTATTTGGCCGAAGGTCATTGGTTCGAATCCCGTTCGTGACACTGACTTTTTCATTTCAAACAATACCTTACAGAAAGATCAATTAATTGAAATAAGCTATTTGGTCAATTGGACCACGAAATGTGTTATTAAAACGACAAGACGCCACCAGGTTTTTAGCCGATTGTTTTAGAATTTAGAAGAAGAATAGATCTGAAATAATCAAAAACCATAATATAACTAATGAATAATATTAACTGCGGGCGTCGGTGGCCGCAATCATTTAGGCATTCACACGGCGCTCATCACTGTAAGGTGAAGGTCCCAGGTTCGAATCCAGTGGCCCAGCATTCCAACCCGACATACTTACCAATGGACTTTTTTTCAAAAAACCTGCACCCTGAGGATATGTGACCTCTGCGGTTGCGAACCCTCGTAAAAAAAATTAACTGTGAAAACACATATTTTTTTGTTAGAAATCTTCAGCACAGTGGTTTATTAGACCCTAGTATCAATATTTATGATACATTTTAAACTATTTGTCAGCCTGTGACAAGTAAGTTCAGTTTATATTAGGAAATCTACACTTTTTGTGTTTTTAAGCACTTTTCCTAAGTTTTTCTTTTGTGTTTCTAAATAAGTACATATATCTGGTGTAATACATCGTAATTTGCATTAATTAAGTTTAATTTAAATCAATAAGGCACTTTGTATATAACAGAACTACTATTGTTGCCATCAGGCTGTGATTAATCGACCAGTAAGTGGGCTCAAATGGGCTAAGCCTAACGATATCGACCACCGAAAAAGTATCCCCAGTGAGATCATAGCCGAAACTTTTCACGGCTCAGATCCTAAAACCGTAAAACTTGTATAAATTACGGCTTCTACCTTCAGAACTTTTAAATTCGCCTTCAACAACCTCCCGGCGGGGCGAATTCGTGATAAATCCGTCAGGAAAAATATAAATAAAGATCGTGTTGCATTTGCCGTGGATGGTGAAACACCACATACGAATGTGATTCAAATATAAACGGTAGGAAAGGGCTCCAGTTAGCTCATGCACCAATGGGAAATGTTAGATATGGGAGAAATCAACATAGTCGAGGCGACCGGGAAATCACTAAACCATTTCTGACAAAGATGAGTGAGAGATTTTATCCTTTCTGACTGTTCTACCTTTTGGCACAAAGTTTTCCCTCAATAACGAGGAAGGGTAAAAAATGGAGCTTACTATCGCCAGCCTATGAGGAAGTTGGTTGACGAATACATTCAAGCATTTGGTGAAAAAAAAGTCTTCCCCTTACCTATTAATAAGTGAATTTAACGGATTTACTGTAATTTCTTTCTAGAATTGTATTTTTTTGCAAATAAAACTTTTATTATGCAAATCTTATTTTTTGTGTTATAAAACCCCGCTAGAATATGGAATTTCAAAGCAAGAACTCAAAAAGTCAAAAATTACAAATTTTATTTATTTTTTAAGTAAGCGTTTTGTAAACTAATTAGCGTGTATTATATGATATTAAGTAGTTAATAAATCAATGTACAAGACAAAACAATTTGATTAGTAGAGAAGTGAAATGTCAAATACATTTGGATCATGTTGATATGTTATATGGTGGTGAATAAAGTATTCATAGCATGAACCTGTGTTCTTCGGGATTGAAACAATATCCATAAATATATTTTTATGTGTACAGTTTACAAATAAATTATTTATTAAAAAATTTCATTTAAATTCTTCTTTTCTTTAAAACATTACCAAAACGAGTCGTGAAGCCTAAAATAATATATAACATGTAACTTCAAATTCCTGTATATTTGCGGAATTTTTTTATAATATGAAATAATAACGCTGTTAGAAAACCAAATGAATATTAATTACAAATAAAATAAAAATTATATAAAATTGAATATAAAAATATAGGAGTTCAAAATTAGCTAAATTGAAATAAAATAATAATAATTTGAAGTTAGAAAGGGTGAATTTGTAGTTTCAAAAAGGTTAACTTGAAGTTAGAAAGGATTAATTTGACGTTCAAAAGGATTAAATTGAAATTTAAACAAAAATAATTTGAAGTTAGAAAGGGTAAATTAGTAGTTTCAAAAAGGTTAACTTGAAGTAGAATATATTAATTTGAAGTTCAAAATGGTTAAATTGAAATTTTAAAAAGATAATTTGAAGTTAAAAAGAGTAAATCAGTAGTTTCAAAAAGATTAATTTGAAGTTAAAAAGGTTAATCTGAAATTGAAAAAGGTTAATATGAAGGAAAAAGGGTTAATTTGAAGTTTGAAAATAATTATTTGGAAGTTAAAAGTGGTTAAACTGAAATTTAAAAAAGGATAATTTGAAGTTCAAAATTAGTTAAATGGAAATTTAAAAAATAATAATTTGAAGTTAGAAAGGGTAAATTTATAGTTTTAAAAAGGTTAACTTGAAGTTAGAAAGGATTAATTTGAAGGTCGAAATGGTTCAATTAAAATTTTAAAAAAATAGTATGAAGTTAGAAAGGGTAAATTATTAGTTTCAAAAAGGTTAATTTGAAGTTAAAAAGATTAATATGAAGAGAAAAAGAGTTAATTTGAAGTTTGAAAATAATTTATTGGAAGTTAAAAATTGTTAAACTGAAATTTAAAAAGGATAATTTGAAGTTCAAATAATAATTGAAGTTAGAAAGGGTAAATATGTAGTTTCGAAAAGGTTAACTTGAAGTTAGAAAGGATTAATTTGAATATCGAAATGGTTCAATTGAAATTTTTAAAAAAATGAAGTTAGAAAGGGTAAATTTGTAGTTTCAAAAAGGTTAATTTGAAGTTGAAAAAGGTTAATATGAAGAGGAAAAAAGTTAATTTGAAGTTTGAAAATAATTTGTTGGTAGTAAAAATGGTTAAACTGAAATTTAAAAAAGGATAATTTGAAGTTCAAAATTAGTTAAATGGAAATAAGGTTAACTTGAAGTTAGAAAGGGTTAATCAGAAGTTCAAAATGGTTAAATTGAAATTTTAAAAAAATTTGAAGTTAGAAAGGGTAATTTAGTAGTTTCAGAAAGGTTAACTTGAAGTTAGAAAGGATTAATTTGAAGTTCAAAATGGTTCAATTGAAATTTTTAAAAAATTGGATGAAGTTAGAAAGGGTAAATTAGTAGTTTCAAAAAGGTTAACTTGAAGTTAGAAAGGATTAAGTGGAAGGTTAAAAGGTTAATTTGACTAAAAATACTACATATTTGAATGACACTTGTATAATAAAAACACTCTATCCACAACGAATAATTTTCATTGTTTTTAATTAATGTTTAAAACTCCATTATTTAGTGTTGTCTTAATTTTTGTTTTCACAGGTTAATTTTGTTGTTTGGTTTTGTTTCAGTTGTGGTGCTGCCGCAGACCCCCGAGCCGATTGTTTTGGACAATAGCTGTGCTGGTTCAGGCCAAAAGAGGGCCAAACTGAATTACTTGCTTCTCGCGACTGTGCTTCTGAGTTCTGTAGCACAATGTAAAATCGAACCCACCTCCTAAAACGTACCCTATAGGATTACAAAATAATAACCGACTCGTTTTTTTATAAAGCAACCCCCTCGACTGTGTGGCTGACGCACTTCGTTCACGGCCAATCTCTTTATTATAGAAATGTAAAAATGGAAAGTATTTAATAAATAATGTATAAGAGATTTTATACGGTTGAGTGAGTCAATTAAGACATCGGTTTAAAAAACTTAGGAGCTAGTCGTTCCCCGAATCTCTTTTAGTTGAGCAATGTTAAGACCAACGCACGTAGGATTCCAAAAAACGGAAATACTTCTGTAAATAAATTGAAATTTATTTTATCGCGTTATCTAACGGGGCATTTGCTGCATACATGGCTGCAAGATCATAGATTTTTAATTATATTCCGACTTCAGAAAATATTTTAAAAATGCTCATGGTATTGCATGACTATCAATAAACAATCAAATTAAAAAAAAAAAAAAATGAAATATATATCTTCTATATTCTTACTCGGAACAATACAGCTTTTCCTGACATTTTAACTAAACAACTATCGATTGTAAATAATTAGTGAGATTCGTGTGCTTATATTTAATATTTTTTATTTTATTTTATTTTTTTGATAAATATATTCTAGATGTAAAGACGGTGTGAATTTGTATAACTGGGAAAGTTTAAATATTGAAATAATAAATATATTTATGTTTTGGAACGTTACAATATAATTGTAATTCGTGTTTTCATGGGACTAACATTGACGACAAGTGAGCAAAAGTATTTTCAATAATAATTTAAGAAATTAACAATCATAAGGTCATTTTATAAGCGATACTGTATATAAAGCGTTTTTCGATTAGATATATTTTATTTTTATTGCGTTGTACGTTAATTTAATAAAAGAGCTAAAGTTAAGGAAAAATTTAACAAAAAAATATCGAATTTTAGATTACTTAATTTTAACAGATGAATATATTAAATATAAATCAGTGTTCTTCTTTAATAAAAAAAGTATACTATTCGAACGAATGTACAATGAAAATTAAATAGTTATAATTTGTATGTTTCTAATGTTTATACTTATCACTTTGAAATGTTAACAAACCACTATGATTTGAACAAAAATCGGTTGTGATTTGTATAAAATATTTAAAATTGATGCGAGGAGAAAAATAGTTGTGAATAGGTTTTTATTGTGCATCATGAAAACAGAAATAACAGACAGTTTAAATTCCTAAAAAGTAAATATTATAATTTGATCATTACTGATCATCTTGATCCATTCTGTGTTTGTCTGTCAGGCATGATATTCACCAACTTCAGCATGTCTGTTCTACTAAGTTGGTTTGATCGTTCATTTGCATGAATGTTTTTTGCAACATTCATAAAATCAGAAGAAAATATAAAAAGTTGTCTTTTAAATGAGCCTTTGAAAATTTCCTCACTAATGACAGGCCAAGTAAGAGAACCAGGATTCAACAACTGTTACTGACTTTCAGATTCTGATTTTTATAATATGGCAATTTCGTTTAAGTTTTTTATCCACAATCAAGCCTAGATAACAAACCTCAGACAGTACTAACACTTTATAAACTTCAAGTTGTAATGAATCACTTGGTATACCTTTTCGTATGAAAATTTAGAATTTGGAATTTATGCTTGACATGTTAAGCCTGTTTGGGAAAGTCTCTTTCTTTATTTCTATAGCTTCCCTCGTAACTCATCTTTTCCAATTTGCCGGGATGCGAACCCAATACTATTAGTATGGCGATACGAGATGAAACATAATGGACATATCAGAGGGCTGAGAAAGGGTTTGGTGAATAATTAGCGGGATCATACAGACTCACTGAACATGTCGTGTCACGTGTCGGATCAAAACAGCGAGAAAAAGCAGGCCAAGATCTTTAACGATCAAATTATAGTAATATATAAATCTGTTATATTTCGTGGTTCGATTGAATAAATAAATTCTTTCAATTAATTAATCTTTATGTAAGGTATTGGTTGAAATGAAAAAGCTAGTGTCTCGAGCGGGATTAGAACACAGCCGAAGGACACTGGCTTTTTCATTCCAACCAATGCCTTACATAAACATTAATTAATTCAAATGTATAAAGTTAATGAAAGATTAAAATAGATCCAACTATTTTTCTCCGAAATCTTATTAACCCAAGCAAAAAAAATACCACTTTTAATCATGTGTCTTAGATTATTTATTTATTTAAGCAATGGTAAACATATCAGTTTAAATATATTCATAGTTTATGTGATGAGTATTTTGTGTATATAGGGGAAAATGAAAAATATTTATATATTGTTGTACTTTTAACAGTATATTTTATTTCTGCGGTGATCAGTAAAAAGAAAGAATGTAGAATTTGTGAAGTTAAAAAAAATGCCTATTAGAAGTAAATATTCGCTTAGGTGATTTATAATTACAAATTAAGTAAGATTTCTGTACTGCCATAGAATGTAAAAAAAAAAGAATAAATGACAAAATTCTCTAGAAAATTTAGTTGCTGAACTGTTTTCTCCGTCGTTTAGGAGATTTTTTACTTTTCTCCCTTTTCGTACATTGCGAGTTGTTTCGTACAAAATTCGTCTCAACCTTAGGTTTTTAAAATCTTGTTCATCTGATCGGAGATTTTATCAAAATAAAATTGAAAACACGTTACTTCTGAGATTTTTTGATAACTTATAAATGATAAGACTTGTGACAGCTTGTAGCGTTTTGGGCCTATTGCTGAATGTCGTGTTTGTTGCAGCTTTTGATGTCTGAAAGCTGCGTTGAGCTTAACCCAAATTTTAGAAGCCCACGGAAAAAAAAAAGACATTTAGAACGAGTCGCGGACCTACCCAACCTGATAGTCCCCCATCCCTTGTGAATGTGTTTGTGTTAAGTTTAAGAGACTTAAAAACTATTATTAAATATAAACAATAATAATTAAGTATAAATATATGATACTCAAGCATCTATGTCTTCCTGAATGGCCTCGACGGTCGAAAAGAAATGTAATGTAATCAATTATTTAATGAAAATTGCCATTCTTCTAACAGTAATTTTTTAGCTATTAGACTTATAGGAAAGATAGAATTTTGATGAAAAAACAAACAAAAAACAAACAAAGTGTTATAGAAGTAAGGTTTAGCGTTTGATGTTGTCTCGAAGAGTTTTTTTTAATTGTTACTAGAGCATTATTATTATATTCATAAAATGATGTTTTGTTTTCTTATGTTTTGTTTTAAATTTTAAAAAAATGTGCTACGTTATTAAATAAAATATTTTTGTGATGTGCTTCAAATTTTTATTTCATTGAACCCTGTCTATATTTTCACGTCTGTCTTTTCTAACTTTTTTTCAATCTCTGTAAAATATTTTAAATTATTTCAATTAATTAGTCTTTTTATATAAGGCTTTGATTGAGATGAAAAAAATTATTGTCAAGAATGGAACACTAACTTTATCATCTCAATCAAAACTTTACATAAAAAAGAATAATTATTTGAAATAATTAATATGGTCAATTATACCGCTAAATATATATGGATTTTCAACTATATTACAAACAAAAGGAGGTTATAAAAGTTCTACGAGAGGTTACAAGGCGTGAATGAACATCGCACAATTGGGGTTATCCTTACGCAGTTTCTGCGTCATTATCAGTACTTCATTTCTCTTGGGAGATAACGAAAGTAAGATGGAATACATTAGTTTAGCGACCGGGTTCTTTGTGTCTCGAAGGACCGGTGTTATGCTTGGTGACGATGGTCGAAGTCGTGATGATGTTGCGAGTACCCTTGTTGCTGTAGCAAGTGATGACGGCTTGTTGCGTTAGTAAGAGTGACCTCGTCGACGAGTCTAAAATCATCAGGTTGAGCTCCTGATCACACAGCTGCTGCAAGTTCATTGGCTGCAGCATGGAAGGACGATAGTCGATCCAGTGATGAGGCTATTGGATAACCATAATATAAGGAGAATTGATTTATTTACTTTTTAATAGGAGTAACTAGTAAAAAATAGTTAATGGTATGGTTATAATAGTAGGACATTCTGCAAAACATCACCACCGAAAATGGCTTAAATTCAGTGCAATAAGCTTTAAGGAACTGTAAGCTGGCCAAAATGGTTGCAGCTGACCAAAATTCATGATCATCGCCATTTTTTCAATTATTTTTATCAACATTGTAGATGTGCTAGTGTTCTTTCATCAAATTGCAAACCATATTAGTACCCATATGAGTCATTCCTCACCATATTTTCGGCTTCCATCACAACCAACATACAAGAATCCCGTTTAATTAAAACAGTAATAGGAGGGGCGTCGGTGGCCGCAACGGTTTAGGCGTTGACACGGCGCTCATCACTGTAAGGTAAAGGTCCCGGGTTCGAATCCAGCCGCCGTGCATTCGAACCAGACATACTTACAAATGGGCTTTTTTTCAAAATCACCAGCACCCTGAGAGTTTATATGACCTCTGCTGTTGCGAACCTTCGTAAAAAAAAGAGGGAAAAAAGCAGTAATAGTGTACTCCTGACATACATCTACCATTTAATCGTGCATGGCATCTGGACCTGTTGCAAAGCTTAAACGAATACATCCTTCGACCTATGACTTCCTAATCAAATCCTACTCATCTGATCGTCTCTTTAAAGTAGCACAAGGTTCCTCTACATCTATTCGATCGGCAATGTGTCTCAAGGAAAGGCCAGAAAGGGTTCTCAGTAAAATTCAGCTAAGAGCCAGATCTCCATCCACTTTATAAAATAATTATATTTTCAGAATAAATGTAAAGAATCCTACATGAAAATGTCAATTGAAAAGTAAGCAGTTCCTCATTGAAGATGGCATAAGCGGAAACGCGTTTGAGTCAAAACCCAGAGGAGAGTAGACAAACCAAAGACAGTGATCAATTGCCAGTCAGATTGACGTAGGTTAAGATGTAAACCCATATGCATATTTCAAACAATTTGTCAAAAGCTGTTTTACAATTTATCTTAATTGCTGTATCCTGTTTTTATTTACGCGTTCGGAAAAAAAAACTTTGTAAAATCCCCGTTAAACGAGTCCGCTGAAATTTGTAAAAACCTCCGCCCCAGATTTGCATGCTTTTTCGAACCCGTTTAAATATTCGGCGAAATTAATTAAGACAATTCCGGTTTTTGCGTTTACATATGAATTCGAAGTCGGTATGCAGCTTATGAATTATTCACCGTGGTCTGCCAACATCGGCCATTCCACAATAGGTATTTTCTGTAATTCGCCCCCTAATCTTTTCCCTTGGGTGTGTGGCGTGAAAAAGATTGATAAATACGAAATTAATACAATGCTGCTTTAATGGCCTTGGAAGACTAAATTAGTGAAGAAAATGTTCTACGTAGTTCTCTCTGTAATACAAATTATTTTATAATAAACGATAATAACTAAAAGTCTACGTTTTATAATACGGGGAAATTACCCGATCACGTGCGAAAAGCAAGGGTTATTGACATGTCCGGGACCATAAATATGCACTAATAGCAAATAGCACGGAAAAATACCACTCGACCGTGATTTACACTAGGGAAGTCTACAATTTTCAGAAAACAAGATAAAACAATTGACTTGCATTGAATATATCTTTAATTATTAAACAATTATTAAAAAAAAAAAAATTATTTTTTTCAATTAATTATTCTTTTTAATAGAATGTTCGAGAGGATCGAAGTCACGATAACTCAAGTGGTAGAGCAGCGGCGAATTTAGCCGAAGGTCTTGGGTTCGAATCTCGCTCGTGACACTGACTTTTTTTGTCTTTACCCTTCCACTACCAGTATCATCATGTAGGCCACACAAAAGACGCAAATCTGAGATAAAACAAATATAAAAAATAAACTACCCCTTCGTTAAC